AACTACGAATAGTAATTAACAAACACACTGTGACTGCAAATGACTGACGTCGGCATTTTGAGACCACTAGTTCGAATGGATGTCCTCTAAGATGAACGTTGGGTGATAACTTCAGAAACCGGCGACACGGATGGCTTGGGTTTTGCATTATTTGGTATACCATAATCATATCTCCTCTAATGCGCCGGTAGTGATAACCCCAGTGACTTCAAGCTCTCTGCGTACGAACACCGATTCAACCCCCTGACCATTTTGGCGGCCGTCCATTGCGGCCGCTCTAGTATTGTGCAATCACGTTGTGGCCATGGATTTCATGCTCTGTGAGTGGCCTAATGTATGCTGATAGTAGACGGGGGGAAAGCGCTGACTCAAACCGGCCAAAGACCAGCTTAAGCAAACCGGCATTCATTACAGCTGCGTTGCAGTCGAGTGAGCAGCCTGAGTTTTCTTGAACGATGATGCCCAGGTCCTTCTCACTTGCGGCGTGCGGCAGTTGTTCATTTCCGAGGAAATACGAAAATCACCCCCTGCGTCGTAGAGATAGAACCTTACACTTTGGCACATTGAATTCAATATCGTTCATAATGGATCAGAAATGAGCTGCTTTCAACGTTTCCTGGAGTGCCAGTGAGTCCGCTGGTAGCGTTACTGTATTCCAGCAGAAGTGACTGAAGTATTCTGGGGAAATAAGTAAATACCTATAAATACCTAAGGACAAGGTTACGGAAGATCTAGAAGCCGAGGGAGATTGATTTGAGAGAAAGCAATAATAAGATGGGAGAGGTCAGAAAGTTACACCGATTAGTGGGACCGTATCGTCAGAATGTGTGCCTAGAACCAGGACGTGGAGCAGAGTCCAACCAGGTAGATTGAGTAGAAAGTTGAATAAGATAGTGATTAAATAAACACAAACAACTGCAAGTTAGATGTGAATTAAAAATAAATGATTGAATGCGGCCACAAGATCGATGGCCAAGCTGTCGTAGTCTGTAGCAGGATCGGGCGTGTCAAACAGTTAGTATGTGATTGTGTAAAGTATATTTTTCTGCTCCATGTTCGAGCCGTGATGAACCTCCGGCGTGTATGTTATGATCGGTGAAATACGTTCAAATGGTGAACTGAGCCTCAGACTCTGCGATATTCTCACTGACTGTCGATAAAGTATTAAGAGGATAAGAACGACCTCATTTTGGGGAATGGTATAGTATGGCACAGAAGCGAGGTTTCGTTCATATGTATTTAAGATTGCTGGCGGTGGCACACAAGAACGAGGAAACAAGCAACTGGATGATGAATAAACGTACGAATACCAGTTTTGGAAAAGAAGCAGCTTGCACTAGGATACTTCGATATGAGTGCTGTTCGCGGTTTCGGAAAAATGTAGAGTAAGAGAGAAAGTGGACAGAAAACAGGTGATGCGCAGAATGTATACATACAGCATTGTCATGCGCAAATAGACGTAACTACATAACAAAAGACTAGTTACCTCTAATAATTCCAATTCAAACGCATCCCGGTTGCTCGGGAATGCGACCGAGCCTTCAGTTCCGTCCCCTTTGCCGTTCACATTCGCTGTGGTCGGAGGAACTGGGGATGGAGACTTGAACGCGACTCGGTTAGCAGCAACTGAGTTCGGTCCCGCCGACGATGGGGTTGATGATGGTGGTATTGGGAGATGGACACCGGATCGATGCGAGATCAAATAATGCCAGCTAGTTAAGATTGGCTTTTTCTCCGATTTTAAAGCCAGAGCGAGCAGATGACGTGCTTCCGAGTCCTATCGGAAGGAAATATTAAAACAATATAGATTGAAATGAGAATGTAAGAAAAAGGAATACATACATACAAAAAGAAAATGTGAGCACGCAAATTGCAGAGCTGCAGCATATACTCTCCACCGGTCACAGGCAGCCGGATGTCGCACCGGTGCTACGGATGTCTCAAGTTGGTAAATGCTGATTGAAAGTTTTGTATGTGTGCCGACACTTCAACTGCGACGCGATATTTGTCAGGTAGCATTTAAGATGATTGTCATGACAGGTTTTCCTTAGAATTCACCAGAGTCCACCGAATGAACATTTAAGGCAAGGTTAACTGTTCAAACTGTTGTTTAGAAGATTGAAGTCTTACGCTGAGTTGTGAAGTTCAGTGGGATTCGAACCCACGCATGGACGCCGATTACGTTTTTTGTACAGCGAACAGTCTAACGGCTGAGCTGAACACTCACGAGCGCAGGGAAGGTGGAGAAACTTGTTCAATGCACAAGAAAAAAAATTAAACGTAGAAAACTAACGAAAGAGTTTGAAAAAAGGATTAAGCATGAGATCAATGAGATGTAGAAGTCTGAGTGAAACAGTTATTTAGTAAGAGTTCTGAAAGCAAACAAACAAGCTGATGGTAACTGATTGAATGCGATACAGAAAAATGATTGAACACTGCCGAAACAGACAATGACGGACCTGTTTCAAAAAGCCGAAAGTGTCCGCGGAGGCACCGAAACTAGCCGTGGTTGGTGTCGGTGTAGGACCGGAGCTGGTGGAACGATTAAATACGGATCCGTTTTCGGATAGTTTCAGGCTGTTTAACGGTGAGTTTCGATCCCGTAGTTTCAATCGGGGCAACAATTCGCCACTGGCCGCCAGACGTTCGCGAACCCGAGACGAAATGACCGGCTCCTCACCGTTCGCTCGTTTCGGTTTCAGATCTTTAGCCGGAGTGAAACTGTTCTGATCCACTGCGGCTGGCACCGATGGTTCTGAGCTGCCGTGATGAACCGATGATCGAACAGGAACGTCTTCCATCTCTGCGGGACGTGCAACTGGAGTGCCTAGAAGATGACCTACGTCCACTTCAGATGGTAGAACAAAATGGCCACTTTCGTAGGCTATTTTTGAACGGGAGGGGTAAGATTGGAAGAGAGGGGGAAGAAGTGAAAACAGATCTTTAACCAAATTTTGTTCTCTGGATAATCGATTTTTAGTACTGCGAAGTACGTACAAACGATTTCACGTATCGATGGAGTGACTCCACTTAGAAATCGGTGTGTTTAAGCTGGTCATAATTACATGACACCCAGATTTCGAGGAAGATATCAAAAAAGCAGAACAAGGAATGCAGTGTTACCGATAAGCTTATACGCACTTAGTCTAACTTTGCATCAACTATCGCTAAACAATGTCCCGGGCGCATTCCTATAGAGCCTGTGACAAGATCATATGATCGAAAGGTGAGATAGAGAGATCGAAACAGTGCTTAACCATTGGAACAAGTTGTTTCAACGACAATGGTCACGGTGGATTAGATCTACCATAAGCAATCAGATCACCCAAAATATTGCACATTTTGTGAGTCGGTGGTTATCTTGAACACACACAGTCTCCCACTCTCCGTATGACGGTTCATTTGATTACAAGAGCACAGTTAGGTGTCTCTGTTTTGATCCCATCACCATCGAACTGAACCGCATGAAAATGTGACTAATGACAGTTCGTGGGGTAAGACACACACAAACACGTGCAGTAACGCGTACAGGTGGTCTTTAGACGAACGATAATCGTGACTCTTTTTTAGACGTATTAATTTAATTCAATGAACAGTCGATCCTTGGTTGAAATCTCGATCAGTGCAAACATAACTCGTTCAGTTTTAATCATCAAAGTACAGAAAATGGAAATTTGCAGACCGTTGTCAAGTTCACCATACATGCAATCTGAATGGAAATGGATAGAGAATGGGTCTGTTTTGAGGGAATGAGGGATGGACGGAGGAAACACAGTCAACCTTTATGGTCAACGTACAGAGTATCCAGTGCAGCGGTGCATACGCACTTTTTCAAATATCTGGTCTGATACGAAGTGACGACAGGAATCCAAGTCTTGTCTGTTCGCTGTCATCTCATTCCGTGTCTCCGAGAGACCAATCGCAGGAACTTTTAGACCCGAATTTGAGAGACAGTAGGCTTATGTGCGTGAGCTGCTCATAGGTGGAGATATTAAAAAAAAACTATCATTGTCTGGATGCCAATGAAACACCGGACACGAATGATTCCCTTTCCTTCATTATGCATCCGAATTAAACTACACGACAGGGTAATTTTGAGTTTTTACAAGTTCATATTTTTACCTTCAGTAACTAGCAGCAACACGACCTTCAAAAGGGTGACAATTCGACATATCTGGAAAGGAGTCAAGTTTGTCAGACAAAACAGGGGGAATATTTGAAGCGTGAAGTAGCTGCAGCCCCAATAAGAACCCGCTTCATCCGAAAAATGTCTCTATTTGGGAGCCTTGGTAGAAAAATCAGTTATAAAGGTATAACAAGAGTTAGCTCATTTGGGGGAGGGGGTACCTGTCACTTATGTATGTCCCATAGGTGGCGTGTGTATCACTGATGTTCGTCCGTGCCTCTGTTAGCAGATACAAATCACCGTTAACGTTTGAACAGGCTTGAAGGGAACTGGGTGGGTTCATAAAATCTAGCGGTTGAGGCCTACATGATCGCTACAATATCTGGTTGGAGATCCCAAGCACCAGTGCATCATTTAATTTTATTCTCACCAATTTCGATTAAGACTTTCCTTTTCAATTAGCCTGGATGAGTGCACCAGAAACAGTCAGTGGATCCGAAGTGCTATTTTGCAAGGCTAACGCCCGACCGAACTGAGAGGAATATTCAACGCTCCGGGACTGGTAAACAGAATTGACATAAGCTAACATAGTTGTACCAACTCGATGCCAAATGACAGTGCGATGGGTTGAACAACAACGGATTAGGATGACTTCATTCTCAGACCCTCCGGCACACACATAGACACATAAAGAAGAAGTTACTAGGAGCCAAATGTTCATGCCTAGAATGTGCAAACATTGCCGGCAGACTGTGTACACAGGACGGTTCCATATGCGGGGAGAGCGTGTGTGCAATGGATTGGGTTTAGCGGGTGAGTGTATTGTAGTGGAAGGACGGATCAGACAAGTTGTATTGGATGAGTATGCGAGAGAACGCATCCGGTCTGACACAGGAGAATGGAATGGGACAATGGCACGCACACATTCACAAGGGAACTGCATAATTAGTTCCGTAAACAGAGCCCGCATGGCGCATTTCAGTCGATCAAAGAAACCGAGTTGCTCCAAGACAGGAATGCGAGACCGGGAGGAGTACACACACACACACACACAAATCGGAATGAGGTCAAACAACAGAAGACCTTGGCCTGGGCAACTTGGCAGTATACAGCCCACTAGCCAATCATGGAACGTTTTTTCTTTTTTATAAAGATTATTGTACCATGAATTGGCTGGCACACAGTCTGTCCTCAGACAAGTGTGAAATATAATATATAATAATACAGAAGACGAATCATTCAGCTTACCGGAAACTGGGGCATGTGTGGTGGCTGTGCTCTGGGACTGGAGTGATCCGGCTTCCGACGGGGCCAAAGAGAGAAATCTATGAACAGAAAGCAAACTGTTATCGAGCAGGCAAATACGGAGCACAGGAATGATAGAAAAATTTAATTATACAGAAAACCGCAAGCATACAATGGATAGATGGGGAGGGAGATGATCAGCCGATGCAAAGGATCATTACACTAAGCGAGTACGGAAGATGGAAAAAGGGCAACGGGGTAATCACTGCAAAGAATGAAGCGATGAAAAGAGTATCGTTGAATGCATATATTTATCAGGCAGTAGATAAACAGATTGGAAAACAGGAGAAACTTATTCACCACATCAGAAGCATATCATAAGGGCAAAAATACGAGGAAGGGGGGATTTCTGGACGAGACTTGAGTAATTCATAATCACGTGAACATCCTGATTGCCAACGATAACATGATCCAGGGACAAGCGAGTATTCATTTGGAGTTGTGAATCTTAGGACAGAAAGGGAATTTATCTGAGGCATCATCGAGTAATAAATTCAGATTTTTCAAGTGCTCATAACCAATGGAATGTCTTTGGTAAAGAGTGGCGAAAGTATGGGATCACTCTGCTTTTAGAAGAATGAGTGAAAGTTTCCGCACTTTTTGGCGAATAGCTTACATCTGCCCCTAGTAATCAGTCTGGCCCGGTATGGAATTACTGGTTTCAGCTAGATCAATTGGAACTAATTGAGTTTGAAGGATGGCGTCGACCAAAAATGAACGCAACCATATCATCGTCGTCCGGTTCAATACCACACCTAGCCTATCGGGGCCTTATGTGGTTCGCCACTCCAAGTTCCGGGGATAAGGTTGCCGATTTCAACCACTGAACAGCAGGTCCTCGTGACCATGGGGTTTACCGCGTCTGCTGTTCATCACACCTAGGTGTGTAATAAAAAAAATCATTCGGGCATAAAGAGCCTTCTAGCAATAAGCTCGAATTATGAGCCAAAGCGAATGTTTGGCAGATTTTAACACTGAAGGAATAAATCCCCGTCAGGATTATCAGACTGAGTGGTCCGGTGTAACACGCTTCATACATTTCATTCATTGTGAAATCGAAGTACACACAAGCATATGCAAGAGTCCGATTTGTCAAAAGATTGTCTGCACACGGAGGCTATCTAACGTAACACAACGCTTTAGAGTAGTCTGGCTGTCGTCGTAGTCCAAATGAAACCGCACCCAAAAATTAGTAGCAAATGGCGAGGTCACGTGATCCGCAACTGTGATACACATTCGACATTCCAAAATCCGCCTGATAAAGTAAACTGAACGTCACGTCTGCAGACCATGCGGCTAACAGATAGAATGAGTGAGTGAGATAAATCAAAGCTCAGGTGAGCACCAGGTTTCAAATGGAATATTGCTGAGCTTCTCTCTCTCGAGGAGCTTAATCTATCCTGATCAGTGCGACAAAAAACTCCTATGGATTTTACTGTCTCAGTTTGACGATCGGGCACAAATCAGAACACCTCTGTGAGTTTAGCAGGTGAATATTGCTCATGCTCAGAGAGACGCCGCTAGTGTACAACTCATTCAGTCCAGCTTGGGATGTATTCGACAGTGTAAAAGTGCACTGTTCTGAAAAGTCCAATCAGCACATGAATCAGTCAGTAAAATCAAACGGATTTTGAGCATCACCAGTTATCCAGCAACCGACCTTTGACAGTGCCACACAGAGCAGAGAAATTTAAAATTTCTTATATATGAAGGCTCATCACTAATTTTCCTTTATTTGTTTCAATTAATCATATGTGTGATTATCATCACCGAAATGACGTATGAAGAATTTAATGACAACTTGAGAGCCCATACCAAAATGAGTGCGAAAGATACGTAATGAAGTGATGAGCAGGAAACGGTCAATACCACATTGTTTGGCAGCAATCAGTGGAGTTCGCTTCACTGTATTACACTGTACAATGATGATGATGATGAACACCACACCAAACATGAGGTCCCTAAACGAAACCAATGATTTGTCACTACAGATAACGAAGGAAATCATCGTCAATATGAAGTTTACCTGCTTCCACCATTGCGGAAGGGTCATGAAATGATCTACTTGAAACCTCACACCCCAACGCGATGGATGAAAAACGCTAGCCTAATGATTAGGCTACTGATATTGATGGAGTAGTGAGCGTCTAAACACCGATTTCTAGTTAAACGAGGAAAGCGGGACACAGACAGCAAGCGAACAATGAGCGAACAGGTGAACAGATTGCCAATGTGTATCAAAGCCATCAGATGAGAACAAGGTTGAAATGTGAAAATAAATTAGACACCAAAAGTCGGATCGCACTTACTCCGCGCTACTGCACAAGCACACATGGAACATAAAAAGAACCGTGGAATGCAATGGTGGTA